AACACACAATTGTGCACACATACTGGAGCAGTATGGTTTTAAGTTAAATCATTCCTCTCACTCTGCTTTCAGGTTGTGATGATCACAGGCGACAACCCTCTAACAGCGTGCCATGTAGCAAGAGAGCTCCACTTCATCCAGAAAGAACACACACTTGTATTGCAGCCAGGCCCTGGTCAGGGTAAGACAAGTCATCACTTTACAGAATTACATGTATTACTCAAGTAAGCCAGTAGACTAACAATGTCAGTAATAAAGGTTGTAGCTAAACGGCATAAAGATGATTGTAGTAATTTATATATTTATTATATTTATCGATTGACAATGTGCATAATCAAGTACCTGATTTTATTTTGTTTTTCCAGGTGAGTGGCAGTGGGAGTCCATTGATGGCAGCGTGTGTGTACCACTGCCCCCTCCCTCCGTTTCCGCATTCGTGCATCAGTTTGATTTGTGTGTAACAGGGGAGGGGCTGGTCAGACTGAGCTGCGATCCCCGGCTACTCCACGCCCTCTTGCCTCACATACAAGTTTTTGCCCGTGTCAGTCCAAAACAGAAGGTTAGTCCAAAATCACAAGTCCCTTGAAAGTTACGTGTTTTGTAGTTTTTAATGAAATGCTCACTCTAAAACACTGCTAAATCAACAATTAGTAACAGACACTGTGTTTCTGGGTCCCATTTAGTGTGTGATGGTGTGTTTTCTTCCTACAGCCATGGAGTTAGCGTAACATTTTTTTGTTATCTATCTCAAACATCAATATCAATAGTCAATGTCAGATTTTCTTTCATTCATCACAGACGAAGCACAGTTGATACAGTTTAGACAAGCATTTTAACTAAGGGACACCACTCAATTCGACAGACAAACTCTGGGAAGTCATCAGCTATAAAGATGGTTGTTTGTTCTATTTCAGGAATTTGTCATCACAAGTCTAAAGGGGCTGGGTTATGTGACACTAATGTGTGGGGATGGCACAAATGATGTTGGAGCTCTCAAACACGCCCACATAGGTAAGATTTATTAACCACAAAGACTTGGAAGCGTGTCTCTCTATGTGTGACCCCAACAGTGTGTAGTGATGATAGTTTTTCCTCAGGTGTTGCTCTGTTAGCCAACGCACCTGAACGCATGCCTGAAAGAAAGAAACGGGGTAGAGAAAAGGAGGCCACCGCAGCAGAATCCAGACCTATACCACCTGTCAGTTCAGGAGGAAAACTGAGTTCCAGGGCAGCCAGGCAAAGGGTGATGGCCCAGAGAGAAGAGCAGCTTGCAGCACAAAAGGTGTGTATCTTGGAAGAGCCTCCTTCCTGATGCTTATGTGAATGGTTTAAAAATGTAATTCATTTTTTTTGCTTTGTACAGCAATTAAAACTCATTTATGTTCACATTTCTCTTTGAAATGATAGTGTTATAGTGCACCAGTCTAAACATCAGGGTTTAATCTGTAACAGGAGAGGATCAGTCAAGTCTTACGGGAACTTGAAGAGGATCAGTTACAAGTAGTGAAACTGGGTGATGCCTCCATCGCAGCCCCCTTCACCTCCAAACTCTCCTCCATACAGTGCAGTGAGTAACACTTGTTTATAATTTCACCCCTTGAAACAGTTGTCAAAGATATGAATGTAAAGCTGCTCCCCACCTTTGAAACTAGCTTTGTCTTTTCCCCCAGTCTGTCATGTAATAAAGCAAGGCCGTTGCACTTTGGTGACAACGCTCCAAATGTTTAAGATCCTCGCTCTCAACGCACTGGTGCTGGCCTACAGCCAGTCTGTACTTTACCTCGAAGGGGTCAAGTTCAGTGATTTCCAGGCGACCCTACAAGGCCTTCTCTTGGCTGGATGCTTTCTCTTCATCTCCAGATCAAAGGTGAGAATTTTTGTAAGAGAGAAGGCTCTACATGTTTTCTGATTGGTTCTCCTAGCAATGTAAGAAGAGACCAACCAAGGAGACTAAATTAATGTTTTTCTCCTATTTACACAGCCACTGAAAACGTTGTCTCAAGAGCGGCCCTTACCAAACATCTTCAATCTTTATACGGTGTTGACTGTGCTGCTGCAGTTTGCTGTTCACTTCTGTAGTTTGGTGTACCTTTACAGAGAGGCACAAACCAGAAGTCCGCCCAGGTAAATCACAGGAAGACATAAATAGGGAATAAACTGCAGTTCTGCTATAAGTTAAATATTTACATGAATACCATTACAATAATACATTATAATAACAATTCACTTGTCATTTCTCTCCCGCAGAGAGGACCAGTTTGTAGATCTTTATAAAGAGTTCGAACCCAGTCTAATCAACAGCACCGTGTATATAATGTCCATGGCCATGCAGATGGCCACCTTTGCCATTAACTACAAGGTACTTATTCTTAATTATTAATTAATTAATTTGTATTCTTTGTAGTATAATACTCACTTCATTTCTTGTTGTGTTCAAAAGGGTCACCCGTTCATGGAGTCTCTCAGCGAGAATAGACCACTACTATGGAGTATTGCTCTGTCAGGTTTAGCGATTGTAGGACTTCTTACGGGTTCATCACCAGAATTCAACGAACAGTTTGCTCTTGTAGATATTCCAACAGAGGTGAGCTGACATTATTTGACCATGTATTGATTTGTTGTAATAATGATGTACGCTATGAGGTAACCTGCGTCTTGTTTACTTCCTTGCAGTTCAAATTAATCATTGCCCAGGTACTAGTGGTGGACTTTATTCTTGCTCTGCTGGTGGACCGTGTCCTGCAGTTCCTGTTGGGCAAAGGAACTCTCAGGCTGCCTTCTTGAACTCAGTGCCAAGAGTGACCAATGCCCTCACCAACCAAACTGTAAAGGGAGAGAAGACTTTGGAGGAGGATGAGAATTAAAGCTGTTGGGACTTACACAAAACAGCTGAGACAGTCATGGCGTGCAGTACTGTACACTCAGTGTATCCCTTCCTTTGTCCTGCTCTGCCCCTCCTTAACCATCTGTGTTTCTGTATTTCCATCAGCTCTGTTTCAATTCTCTTTCTGTTTTCTTCATAACTATTGATTTGTTTTCTACATCTCTCTCTTTCCTCATCTGTCCCTCCCCACTGCTACACAAGGCCATGAAGACAGCAGTATTGAGTGGAGTGCGAGACTGTGTGCCACCCAGAGTGAAACATACCGGCACACAAAAGGGGCATTCTCCAAGAGAATTGCAAAAGTGTTTTTGATTTTTTTGATTCTTCTCCTTGATTTTGTAAAAAGTGAAAAACATCTCTAACAGACTTATAAAGACTTACTGATACAAATTATGAAGTCTGTCAAGTGTTTTGTCAAGTACGGAAGTGTCAACACATGAAAAAGATGAGCATGTGCAGCTGGTCATGAACTATCCTGTTCCCAGAAATAGGTGAGTAATGAGAAGGGTATGGGAATATAGTGAAACTGTACAAAGAAAGACATTCATCCAATGAAACCATTTATCTAATTGGACACACGACACTGACCAGAACAAACGTTCCATCTAATCTCGAAGGAAAGAATGGAAGCTTTGTGTTTACTTACCAACTGAGCTTAACTACCATACCAAATTGTTTGCTATTTATCTTTTATATGAATTTACATAAACATTGGTTTGATGATCAAACTAGAGCAGCGCCCTTAAAAAAATCTAGATCTTTACCACTTGTCTCTCTTATTACATGCATTGTGAATCAATCAAGCACTGTACCAAGCATTCAAGAACTATAGAGTTGTTAATGGGGCTTGCTGGCTTCCTGTCAGTCATATAATGACCCAAGTTGCATCAGTTAACCCATTGATTTGTTTATGACAACTCAAAGGCTGTCGAAGTAGTTTTTCTGAGAAAAAGCCTCTCATCAACAACTGCTGGGGCTGCTATTTTCTGCTTAATTAATAAAAAGAGGCTGACACTGACAAGAGGCTTTTAGACAAAAAATGGTGTGTGGCAATTTTGTCATTGTCCAATTTATACAGTGATTAATATAATAGGGTCTCCAAAGACCTTCATTTCTCCTTTTAGAAACAGCCATAAGAATTGACACACTAATCAGGGACATTTCCTATTATTAATCATCCAATTTTCAATGCCTTTTACAGTTAAACAAATTAAAGAAATAGAGCTTTGTTGAATGTGTTTTTATACTATAACTAGTATACAGATGTATATTTGCTTTGTGTCCATCTATGTAAACCTCGCCCATTCAGGGGTCAGGGAATACTCCATATTTGATGTACAGATTAGGATACCTCTCAGTGCAATGCTGGAGCCGTAACGTTGGAGATTAGAGGATGTGCAAAGAGTAATCGCAGCAACTGAAATGAGATTTTACTCTCTGCAGATAACACTGCTGTATTGCAACAAAAAAAAACTGAAACTACAAGAAATAGTCAGTGAAATTCCATGAAGGAGATCAAAGTTGTTGACATTGAACACAAGGTCTTAAACTCTGCAGACCAAAGCATCAGAAAACTCTTAGACTCGCTAGATAGGCTATCAGAAATCCTGTGTGTACAAAGAGGATCAGAGACAGGGTTGACCCCTTTAAACTAGGATGTCAATGCTTGCTCTTAATTTGATCCAGGGGAGGTTTCAATACTAAAGGACTGGATTCCTTTGGCACCAAAGCCACCTCTCTACAGAAACATCTGCCATTACAGCCTGTAAGTGATTCTAAACGACTGTCTTTAAAATGTATTCCTAGGCATGTTATTTTCCACTTTATGATCTTTAATTTGTAAAATCTTGGAATGGAAATGGAACCCCAGGAAGTTTGTTTCCCTTTGAGTATGTTTTAAACTGCATATGTTGCCACACACATGCCCTGTAATTTATGAAGTACAACCCCTAATAGGTGCCAGCCACATAAAGGCCACATCCAGTCTGACTATGGCTGCACTGGAAGTAAAACTGGAAAATCTTAACAAAGCAAAACAAAAAGTGTCACAATCACACTACATTTCCCATGATGCTTAGTTCAGTAAAGGGGGTTGGGCTTGTTGGGCGCGCGCTGTGAAGAAAGCCATTTGAAAGAAAAAATGGCGGAAAAACATTTCGAAGCTGGACAAGAAGGGTTTGTATCCTGTTTTTAATAAAAAACTAAAAATGTTGCGACAACCGACAACAATTTAAAGTTAGCATTGTATTGAGAAAATATAGTAAAGCCAGCGATAACTTGTTCCTTATCAGAGTTTTGTCCAAAGCAAATTGTTGTTGTCTGCAGTGTTAAACGCTAACGTTAACATTACTTTGCGTTAATATGAATGTATCAGTAAAAACACGTATTTTGGACATTTGGAGTATTTTACTATGTTTTGTAACAAGTAACGTTAGTTCGTTCATTTAATTTATCTTTTTTTCTCTCTTCAGTTTCGGAAGTGTCGTCGTTGCTGAGACCCAAAGTGAGGTAATGCATTTTACCTGACATTTAAGTTATCTATCTAACAACGCCTGAGCTAATCGTAGATCCAGGCGCTATCTATGCTACAGTGTCACTGCTACTTTGCTCTGTGTTCAATCTCTATAAACCAAGGTCCACTCTGTGAAACAGAAATCAAAAAGATGCTCCTCCACAAGCCCCAGCACAGCTCCCCCACACAAGTCTCCTCGTACCGACTTCATATCATCCACCACACAGATGTCAGATGCAGGGGAAGGACATTCAGAGACAGACAAACAAGAAATGGTGACAGAAAACACAGAGGGACCTTCAAGTCTCACTGTTAGCCCCACTGCACGGAGGAAATCCTGGAGGAGAGCCACCATAAGCCGACGCTCTCTCCCTGCTCTTCCCAACCCATATCAGGGTAGGATATCTTTGCCTCGTTGCTTCTTGTAATCAATAAAGGATGGTAAAGGTATTGTTTTTTTTGCAATATGAATACCTCTTCATGTGTTTATTGTAGTTTTATGCAGGGGCATAAGTGCATCCTTATCACAGGAAGAGAGGCTTGAGAAACTGATGGAGGCTTCAATGAGGGTGAGTGGATAATAGTAAGTTAATTGTGACAATCTTGGCAGAAAATGTGAAAAGTTAAATAAACAGGCACAGTAGGTTACTTTTTATTTCAGTGGTGTTGGATGTTTGAGATGAAGATCCTTTTTTCGGTTGACTGAAAAAATTTGGAAAGATGATGGATTAAACAAGGAACCAGCTGTTTAACAAATAAATGTGCTTGCACTCTGGTGCTGACAGCAGAGAAACATTAAAAACCCTTATTCAATTTTGAGTAATAACTACAGATTTTGCATTGTAATAAAAGTGATGTTATAAGTACAAAGTGTAAGATTAACTGAACTTTAGAGACGCATCAAGTTTTATGGTTTTATTCAGGAGTATAAGATGTCCTAATGAAGTACTCGTGAGGTAGACTTTAAGGGTCTTGGTTTCGTTAGGTTACAGGGGAGCATACAGTTAATTAATTAGTCTTAACTAAAATTCCTAATGAATCTCTGTCTAATCATCTCCACTTTATCTCTAGCTGGCAATAGAAAGAACTCAAAATACCCTACAATCAGGGCCAAAAACCTCACTGGAGTCTTTTCAAAAACAAGGTTAGTGCTGGCACTACTTCATTTGGTACATATTTCTTGGAGCTCCTTATTGTAGCTGAATGGCGGTCATAGAAATATTCAGTTTAAGTTATTTCTTTGTCTGTGTTGTGTGTCTTCCTTGTTGCAGTTGAGCGCATACAGAAAGAGTGGGGTTGTTTGGCCAAAAGCATACGCGGCGAACCACAGGGTCATCATGTCCCTGCTAGTGCAGCCAGGTATTGTAGCAGTTTTATTTTATTTATTCAGTTCTCTGTATGGATTATATTCTTGTTTGGTTGTCTTGCCAACCAATTGTCATTTCGTATTGCATTTATGTCTCTGTTATTTTCTTTCAGTTCTAGTGATCCTGCAGTGCTAAGAGCCATGGCAAAAGTCCAGAAAGCCATCAAAAGGCATGTTGTTCTTGATATTACTATAGCACACACAAAGTATTCATACAAACCATACATTCAAATGAAAAACAAAACACAGATAGTGTGACCTATCACATGAGATACATTTTTTTACTGGCCTATGTGTTTTAGGCTCCAGGCTGAAAGTGAATCTTGGGAGGCACTGTTGAACAAACACCGGAGTAAAGCAGAGGAATTGGAAAGGTAAACATGTGTACTGTCACTAAGCAATACTAATGCAATACTGTGTTAGAGTAAGTCAATATTGTCTTTAATATTGTCAATAATGTGTTATTTTATTTGTTGCAGGAAAGTGGAGCAAGGCCAGGAGGGGGGCTTATCATTGGACTCTACATCTGTGGCTCAGTCCTCACAGTACCATATCATACAGAGTAAACCGGACTACCACGGTCTCCTCTGTAGACAACAGCCCATGTTTCACACTATGGCAATGATTGTATGTTTATATTTTTCTATCATTACACAAATGTCTTTAAATCACTGTATCATTCGTATATATGCCATCTGTACTGTTGCGTATGGTAAAATACTACAGTTGGCAAGGGGGAAAATGGAGGAAGTTCTGCTTGACTCTGAGAGTGATGAAGCATAAAGCAGATGCTTCTGATTTTATGGGCAGCTTAAATGCTGTTCACAAGAAAGAGAAATGAGTGTGTTACTCTTTTGGGGGGCAGTGACAGTGCCAATAAATTAAATAACTTCATATTCAACCTATCTGATCAAACAATCACAGTTGAATTGGCTAGATAATGATAACAAAGTCTATGTGAGATAACATAACTGGGGCATCACCTATACTTCTCTGCACAATTATCATCTGTCCTGAAATGTTATGCTATATTATGTAATCAGTTATTCTATTTCTTTTCTTTATGTAGATGGACACTCAGTGTAAGATGGTTAGAGAGCTTCTGTCCATCAAGGAGCAGTCACAGTTATTGGTGAAAGAGACCAGTGGCCGCTTGGGTAATGACTTAATTTGTCTTTCATGTTTTTTATAGAATAATTCAATTAAATCAATATTGATGTGGCGATTTAACGTTTAATCTAGTTACTTTTTCCTACCAGCGGCAGAGGCAGGATTTCAGGATCTTTCACCTGACCTCATCAGGAACCTTATGGGAGCACCTTTATCCTCTGCAACTACATAGTCCCTCTGGCAGGAGGCAAGCACAAGCAATCAATCAGTTAATGGACCATGGCTCTTTATGACTTGAATATGAAGCTCATATACTGTATGTGTTCTTTCTGATATTTTTTATTGTTATGTGCTTTGGAAACATATAATTTCTTTGATCTATCTTTCTTGTCTTGTTTTAAACATAAAGTAAGCTCTAAGTTTATGTTTTCTTTGTCAAATAAAACCATTTCCATCAGCAGCAGGATTGGTAATGGAGCTAGTTCAGGTAATTCATGTGTTTGACCAGCAGGTGGCAGTGGTTGGCTATACAAATTTGTAACAAGCTCCATGAATGGCCAGAGTGGATTTTTCTGTTAAGCCTTAATTAAGCTATTTTCACCTGTGAAACCTGAAACCTTTAAATCGAGATTGCCAGCTGTTAGAAATAAAGGAACAGACAAATGTTTTAGAAATTGTTGCAAATATCTTGCAAAAAACTTTATTATTCTGCATGAACACTGAAAAAAAATCCCCCATCTCTTGGAACTATTAACCTGTCTAAAGTGATATTCAAATATATTGACTATTGGAAATCAAATGAAATGTGCCTTTATGAAATGAACTCAATTTGAAGTCATGGGATGTATTGATGTTTTTATGTGGTTTGATTACTACTATAAATATCTGCAATAGTGACTTTGCAAAGAGTAGCACAACACTGTTTGTATATGTAGAGTAATTTTCAAAAAGTGTCATTAAACCTTTGAAGAAATTTGGCAACAGGAAAGAATTAAATATGAACATTATGAAGAGTTTAAATACAGAGAGATTCTGCTCTGTAGCTTGTCTAGTCTTTAGTTTATGTACAGTCCTTAAATCCTCATCCTCAGTTACATTTACTTGCTTTTTGGTGCCGCATCTATTTCACTTCATCAGTGTCCCCTGACCATTCAGGAGGAGGCCCCTCCCCCACAGTGACTCACCCCATCTCTTGCATTTGGCTGGGTCACTGATGCAGAACGAAGCTTTGACATTGTACCAGTCAGTCAAAGCTTTGTTAGCCGTCACTCCTATCTTTTAGACCTATTCACTCATTAATGTTCATACTTAATTTGTTTCTCTTAAGAGTGCAGCAAGAAGAAAGCCCTCTTACCCCACTGTCAATGATAAATGAGAGTAAATGACTTCTTGTTCTCTGCTGTTATGATCTCCAACATGGACTACAGTGAATTTTTCTTGTGATTGTATTGATGCGAGTGACTAGAGAGCACAGGGACATGCAAAGAGAAGACAAGCAGGGTTGTGACCGTGAGAGTTGTGAGTAAGGGAGGATGGTGCACAGCAGGAGAGATCGATTCTTATTTAGATGAAAATGAGGCTTGATGCTTGTGGGGTGAGAGGAGGGCAGCCTTAGCATCCAAATGAATAGAAGTTTCACAGAAATGATCCTTAACTGAATCACCAACAATAAAAACAAAGAAGTTTACAAAGACACTGGCATGGTCTTTTTACTTTCGAGAAAGGTCTCAATTTGACAGTGATAAAGAGTGACTTTGGGGTTAGATGATAACCCCTGCAGCTACTCAATTAAAATTTTAAACTTTCGCTTTCAAACAACTTCAGTGACCCTAGTAAACGGCATGTCATAAGTTATGTTTGATTTAGAGGCAGTGCATATTTGCATAAAGGTGCCTTGGGTGTGACCAGGCTCTCCGGGTTCCTTGTTTGAAGACTATTATTATAAAGAAAGAAAACGAGGCTTATTTTTGTTATTATATATGAGTATTTTATTTTTCTACTTAAACACTGACGTTTATAAGATTAGAGGTTTGGTTGTAGTAGGGATAACTTTTTTTAAAGGGTTAAAATCCACTGCTTTGCATAGCCACCAAGAACCCTAAATTGTGACTTGTACTATATGCACATGCAAAGAACAATTACTGGTTTGGTTCAATGTATTCTCTATTCTTTTTGTCTCTAACTTTAGATTGATTAGCTACAGATTGTAGTAGATGGATGTGTGGAGAGTCAGCATAAACCATTGCCAGTTTGGTCCTACTCTCTCATGCACACCCATCATCTCTTCTCAGTATACAGCAAGACTTGCTGCAGCTCTCCTCCAAATCCATTCAGCCAGCCATTCGTCTTGGAAAGCTGTCTCTCTGATCTGAGTGATAAACTACAGCAGAATTGCCCAGTTTGCAAAAAACAAGGACACTTGTTTTCAATCTGTGCTGTCAACATTTTCATACTGAAAACTGATGGGATGTTTCATTCATCAGGGGTTTAGGACAGAATGATATTCTTACGTTGGACTGTTTTGCTTTGATATTGAATATTGTTTTTGAAATAGCCACAATGTACCCATACAGATAGGTATCACTGAATTGACTTTTATGCTAAACTCATGAAAAGACACTGACACAAAGAAATCAAATAATTTTCAATAAGTATTTCTATTTATTTGGCTTATTGTGGCTTTTTAAACTCATACACCTATGCCCTTGCTCAAACAAATGTTTAAAACAAGGTAATCACACTGGTTATGACACAGTGTTTACAGCCGTGTGTGCAGCTTGTTACAAGCTCAAATAGCACACAATCGCAGTCCTTTAAATAAAAAACAAAAAAAAAACATTCACTTCGAAGTTTTGTTTGAAAAAAAAACAACTGTTAGATAGGTGATCTCACCTGGTGTTAATAAGGAAAACAAAACGCGGTAATCCATTCATAATAGGACAAGCAATACAGATGACGTAAGGGGCTATCCATGTGTAAAGGCCAGAACATTGTCACCTGGAGGAATAATGCAGTTATAGGGTCTGAACCACTTATAAAATGTATGTTTGTATGCATCCTGCCAACCTTACACCAGCTAATACTGAACTTTACTAGTAGCTCTCTCTCTTCCCCCCCCCTCTCTCTATCTATCTCTCTATAGTAGTCTACCGGTTAACCCGCCCGTAAACTCGCTGTCTCCGGTGCTACGAGTTCAATGGTCAACGCGACGCACACGGCTCACGCAGCCCAGAGAGCATCCCACATACTCGCGCGACATCAATAACAATGGCAAACCTCAGCTCGTCTGTTTTGGTAGCAGATTTCTGATTGGAGCTAGACGGTCCGAAAAGCTTAGTCGCTGTGTTCACGTCTTATTTCGTGTTTTTTTTTTTTCTTTTTAAATCGGCGAGTTTTGCCTTAAGACAAGAGCGTTCGTCTATCGGCGCGTTTTGTCGTTTTTATATATATATATATTTTTTTTTTGTTTCTCGAAAATGTGCGAGGCGCTGTTGGCAAGCTCACACGGTCTGTGCATGTGTGTCCCTGCTGCTCTTCTGCTGGGCTACGGCTACTAACCTAGCTGCTTTTCACTCGGTGGTTAGCTAACATTAGCCTGGCCGCGTTTATTGACTTGAAGAGGGGAGAAGAAAAAAAAAAAAAAAAACCCCCAAACACTAGCGAATGTAAAGCGTGTTTGCGCGATCTGTTTTATGACAACAGTCACTTGCTGTTTTTCTAATCGTTGTTGTCGGGTACGGTAAGAAGTGTTGTATGATTTGTCGTAGAAAATACTTTGCTGGCTAGCTAACAGGCTAGCTATTTGTGTGTATTCTTCGACTGACTGAGGAAAACGGCGAGTTTTCTTTGAAAGTATGGATGACCAGACCAGGATGATGACGGGTCTCACCGGACTCGGTGGACTACAACAAGCCGATGTCGGTGACCCAGACTCGGTTAGGAAACAGCAGTCACTCGGTCAGCCTCAACAAGACATAGGGGATATCCTACAGCAAATAATGGCCATCACCGACGAAAGCCTGGACGAAGCACAGGCCAGGTAAGACAGGCGAAGAGCCATTTTCCACACATGATAGCTAAGCTAAAGTGCGTTGTATGTGTCTTATTTTTGCTTCAGGACTCAAGCGTTTCTGTGAAACGCTCACGTAAGGTAACGTTATGCGTAATTGCAACATTAATGCAACTTGAAGTTACATTGTTATTCGCCGCTAAACCAAAATACATTTAGTTACCAAAATAAGTTGAACACCCACATTACAGTGCTGTTGTAGTTTGAAAGGAGGTTCTTTGTTACTTCAAACCGAGCTCTATTGTAAACTGTAGTTTGTAAACATGCTCACTTGGTGGAAATACGGCGATGAAGTTGAATTAATTGGTTTTTTAATGAAGTGTTAAATTAAAAAGTTTAAACTTCCTATACAGTCTGTGAGTATGGTAGCCGTATAAAAATCATATAGTCACTTGCCTAATAGAAACTTATTGCTGAATTGGTGTTGCATGACTCTTTAGGTTTTAAAGGATAGTAGTTTTATTAGAACACAACAGTAGTTATATTTTTAAAGCTCGCATTAACCCCTGCTCAAAGAAAACAAATATTACATAATTCAAGAGTTTTTGTTGTATTTCAATTGTCTCATAGGACAATGTGAAGTTAGTGATGCAAATTTCCCCTTTACACTAATTATTAAAACTATGAGGAAGCGTGTCAACATACAAATGCTCTACCATAGTGCATGTTATGTGGAGGCTATCTGAGTGAAATTAGGTGTTCTGGTCATGTTGCTAAAGCTTTCAGATATTACTTAACAGACTATGCCAAATTAGATTTGCCTAATTATAACAAAATGTGTCTGAAATGCTACCGAACGTCAAATCAGTGGGAATAACATTAGTCATTGAAATGCAAATGAGTGGATAAATTAAGGTAATGGTAAGGATTACACATCAGCGAAATGCTGTCTCTGATGACAGCAATCATTCATTCGTATGGCTCTTACTTAATGTATGTGTATTTGTACCTATTATTATTGTGGGGAGTATGCACTGCAGAGAGCAACTGACCCACACTCATTTGCCATGTGGCTCAAAGAGCATAAGGTCAGTTTCAGATGAAGCGTCAGTATTTCAACAATAGACAACCGTCCACTGCAAGACTGTGGCCACAGTGTGATGTGTCATTAGCTAGTGATTTTCCACCCAACATTTGACCACCTGGTTCTCTTAATTAATTCACTCCTCTTTCACTCCCTCCCTCCCTGGTGTTCATCCTTTTCATTGTGTGCTGGGTGCAATCAATTCTCCTATAATGTGTACGCGAGTGCAGCTGTCCGCAAATCGAGTTTCTATTAATGAGATGGTGGTGAGGGGGAGGGATGATGCTATACCAGCAGACTATGAACACTGGGATATTACCTTTTCTCCAGTACAAGTTTGAGGACTTAATCAGGCCTTATTTTGTGG